ACCAGCACTGTACCTCACTCTATGACCAAGCCGTAAGCAATCCCCAAAGCCCCAACCCCCCCCACACACGTGTGTCGCGTCCCATGGCTTTCTGTCCATCTCTGTGTTTTGTTCGCCAGTCCGCCACATGCGCGAGTGCTCATTGCCCGTCCCCGTGTGCTGGTCGTGGCCAATCCGACGTAGTGTTAGGGTCATTGGCCTTTCCCAAGCGGCCATGTCACTCGCAAATCGTAAGCACACGTGGATGGATGGATGAATGGCTCAGGATCTGCACATCTTCTATGTGTGTGTGTCCATGCAGAGAGACACCAATCTCTGGCATGACGCCCTGGCTTAGCACCGCTCATTCTCACTCGACAAGCCGTCCCAGCCGCCACTTGGGAGAATCTTCCTTGCAGACAGACAGCGTGCTGTTTGTAGGACGGACTGCATCTGTGCGGGCGGACCGACAAGAACGCCCTTTGCTCACGACCAAACAGCACCCTGATGCTGGTACGAACAAAACCGAGAAAACACCGTACCAGTGCGGTCAAACTGTCAGCCTGCTTCCTCTGCCACAGACGTTATCCTATCCATCGGCGCCACCAAGCTTGCGCCTCTCCTCCCTGAGCTCTTCACTCGACGAAGGAGAGCGTCATCTGCGGCCGCCACGGAGCCCTCGCTGGCGTCACTGCCCAACCCATGGCTGCCTCGTCGGATGGATGGATGGATGGGGTTTGCTTATTCCACCTGTCTGTGTGTAACGGATATATGGACTTTTCTCGACCGCCTTTGTGCGATTGCGCGTGACGGAAAAGACCAGAGAGTGGCGGGGGCGCTGGAGTGTGTGTGGGTCGTGCCATGATGCTTCTGTAGTGTTGTGCTGGCGGCGTGTGTGTGTCGATTCGGTCGTCCCCTCTCCGTCTGGCCGGCTGTCCGTTCCCCTAGTCTATTCTGCTGCTCGGCACTGGCTTGATTGAATGCCGAGCAGCGCACTTACCGACCTACGTCTCTCGTATGGCTGTCTGGCTGTCTGTGTGAGTGTTGTGTGTCCTTCCTCTGTGTTCTGTCTGTCTTTCTAACCCATCGAGCGCCCGTCCATGCCGTCAGCAGTCTCTTGCTGCTTGCACCCTCCCCACACACAACTGGCGACGTACGTGAGGACTGACTCTCGACCGACCGTGGCTGTCTGTCTGTCCATCGCATAAGTGGGGGACGTCTTTCGTCTCTCTGTGTTGGGTGTGTGTCTGTTGGAGTGGTCGGTCGGTCGATTGCCGTTTGTCGTGGTGTCGTGTGATGTCGTGTGGTGGGCTCCGTCTGGTTCGCCAACATTGGTTGGTTTCTGCGATGATTGCTTTTGCGTCTATCCATCCATCAATGCATCGTCTGTGGGGCGTCGGTCCGTGACGTGTGGTGTATGTCGGGGCAGGAGAGTGCTGTGGTGTGGGTATCTGTGGATGGATGGCTGCCATCCATCAATGCATGCAGTGGGTGACCAACGGGGCGGTGTCTGTGAGGGTGGAGTGGGGGTGGACACATGGCGGCGGATGACTGAGAGTCATCCATCCAGTTGGGGAGGGCTCTTTCCTTTCCCTTCACGGCTGTCCGGCTCTCATAAGCTCCGGAGCGGTCGGTGTCAGTTGGGTGTGAGTTGGGTGTGCACGACTGGCGCATGAGCGTGTGACTCTATTTGTGAGCGTCGACACGGTGTGGTGGGTGGTGAACGATTTGTGCGTACAGACGACTGACTGTCCATGGCTATGCCGACGTCCTGCCTGACTCGCCGATGTGTGGAGATCTCTTTGTAATGCATGGTCGATACCCACTTGTACAGCAACTCGTGTGGGTGTCGCCAATCGACAGCGGCGCGTGTGATTCGATGCACGCCTGCAGTATTCATCTGTAGGCGACTTACTTCGCATATTCGCTGTGCCGGTGTGGTGCCTTTACTTGACTGATCAATTGCTTTAGTCGGTGCATAGCTGCCGGCCTGATCTCACAAGTTTGATTCTCCTGTCTGAGTTGATAGCGTGTGTGTGGATTGGAAGTGAACACCAATTTGTTTGGGTGAGACATCTGGAATCGATTCGTTCGCTAGCACGTATGTATGTTGACAAAAACCACGCACAGCATCAGTCAGTCGATCGATGCATCCATCCATAGCTATCATAAGTCGGTCCACCCAGCTACACACGCGCATGGCATGGCTGTGTCACATGCCCCGTACGCCAAATCTATCTCGACACAGTCGCCCGTCAATCTGTCTTCTCTCTCTCCCTCTCTCGCCCCGCAGATGGACGCATTTATACATATTGACAAGAAGCCACCAACCATCCACCCAGCTACACATACGCGGGCTTGCTTTCTATCGTCAATACCCACGGGCGGGTCCTCCTTGCCCTTCTTCATGCTGATCTCCGTGTAGCAGCAGCCGAGAGGCTTGCCGACAGGCGGCATTCTGTCTATCCATCGATGTATGTATCTCGCTGCTGGTCGGTCTGTTGTCATTCACTGCTGGCTTTCCTTGTCTTTGTACGAGGCCATTTCCTCCCTCCCTCCTCCCACATTCATCCATCCATCCAGACAGACAGACAGACAGCTAGGCAGCCAGACAGGAGAGCGGGCAGCCAGGAGGAGGAAAGTGAAGAAGACGAGAGACACATCCATACCACACACGCGGAACACACAATCCATCCATCCATTCCCTCCCCTCTCCCTATACCGCACCGTCTCAAATGCAAAACACCCCTCCTCCCTCGCTCCCCTCTCTCACGGCAACCAGGCTGGCCTCGACTCGAAGTACCGTCCATTCGGGTAGATCTGCTGCAGCTTCGCAAAGCGTGATGGGCTCGGGTGGGTTGGGCTGAAGGCCACGTCGGTTTCGCGAAGGATGCACCGGTGCTGGACGCCCAGCTTCATCCGGTGGGCAGTCCACGGTCCTTGCACCTCCTTATCCCGATCACGATACCTAAATGCATACACAACAACCGCATGACGCACAGCCCATGATGCAGACACCCCTATGTGCTTCTGTGGCCCCCCTCTCTCCCTCCCTCCCTTACCACCAACAGCCGTCTGTCAGTGGGTCTGGCTGAGACCCGAAGGCATCACCAGCCCCTGTCGTCCCGGCCGGCCCGTGATGGCCACCGACACGGCTATCTCCCCCTCGACCGCCCCGCCCGCCTCTCAGCCCGCCCCCATCGCCGCTCGCCCCATGGCCGTGCCATCCGCCGTCCCGCTCGTTCTGTCGGGTGGTTCCTGGGATGGGCAGGATGGTGGGAAAGCTCTGCTGCTGCTGCTGCTGCGTGTGGGGCCGGGCATTGCCGTCCTGGTTCATCTGGCCGTAGTTGGCACCGTAGTCGTTGTAAACCGGCCCGTTCCCGCAATACGCCGCCTGCTGGTGGTGGGGGGGATAGCACTGGTGCCGATACTGCTGCTGTTGCTGCTGCGCGGCATAGACGTTGGCGCCCCCACTGGCGTTGGCCCCTCCCCAGCCTCCATACCCGCCCTGGTGCTGATGCTGCATTGGGGGCTGCTGCTGGTATTGCTGGTGCTGCTGCTGCTGGTATTGCTGGTGCTGCTGGCCGCGCATCATTGCCGCCTGCCCGTGGTGGGCAGCGTAGCCGCCGGCCGGCACACCTCGGTTGGTGGCCGTGTGGTGGTACTGGGTGGCGCCGGACTGCCCATGACCTCCCTGCTGTCGCCCGTTGCGATGATCAATGCAGTGGTTGTGCTGGTTGTGCTGGGGAGGGGGCGGGGGAG